AGGGAATTTTGCAGATGAAAAAACCAAGGTCAAAGAGGAACTGAGTTACTTTACCCAAATCACACCATTAATAAATCAGAGGGTGATTTGATACTAGATCTGCCTGACACTAAAGCGTGTGATTTTGCTAAATATAATGCGCTATTATAGGTAACAGTTTAGTAAAGCATATCTGACAGACGATATGAGCAAGAGTAGGGCTGCAACGCGGGTCACAGGGAAGGGGATGGTGGTAACAGGAGGAAGGAAGGAGTCGGGGGGAAGGGGATGGTGGTTACAGGAGGAAGGAAGGAGTCCGGGGGGAAGGGGATGGTGGTAACAAGAGGAAGGAAGGAGTCCGGGGGGAAGGGGATGGTGGTAACAGGAGGAAGAAAGGAGTCCGGGGGGAGCAGCCGGTGGCTGGGAGCACCTGCTTCCTGCATGGGCCATCCAGGGCTGCCCTTGTCCCCTTTCAGAACCCTGCAGGCGCGACCTTTGACAGTGCAGTGGAGCGTCAATGCCAGTTTTAAACCAGGACGCAAAGCTCACACGCTTTTCTGCCATGATTTTGGCCTTATTTCCCAGCTGTCCTGAATATTTCATCCCTTAGTGTCCACAGGGAGGAAACACAGGAGGTTGTCAGGAGATGCAGGTGATGCTGCCCCTTCAGTCTGCAGGCCGGATGACTTTCTAACACAGTCTGCTCATAGGGACAGACTCGCAGTTACCTCTCTCGAATGAATTTTTAATGTCATTGACTTCCACCTGGGACCCCGAGACTCTGAAAATCCCCTGGTGCTGAAGACCTAGGAGGACAGAGAGGACAGAGGGTCAGCAGCCCATCCCATCTTCCAGACCCCCTTCCTCTCTGAAGTTAAACGTTAAGCAGAGAGTTAGTGTTTATGGAAACACCTCTAGTATTTTTTTAAAAGTAAGAAATCCTGTAGTTCACGGCTTACCATAGAGATTGATGAACCGTATGCAGCTTTCCACGATGAGGGGGATGGCCTGCCCCGAGTCCTGGGTGGAGAGAGGGGAGCCAGTGAGCGTCAAAGGAGGGGCACCCCACACAGCAATATAGCTGACAGTCAATTGGTATTAAAGAGTGATTTTTACCCTTTTAGATGATCATTTCCAAATCTACCCTCTCCAAAATCTTCCCTAAGGCCAAAATAGAAAAAAAAAATGTGAAAGAATTTATATTTAAACAAATGTGTATTTCATTTCTGGAGCAAACCAATAAAATGCATTGAGGCAATCCTGCTCTGCTTCCTCTGCCACCGCTAGGGACGTCGACCCCACCCGCCTGTCACCCTGTGTTCAGGCTCACACAGCAGGATGCATAGGTGAAAGCTTATTCATGTCAGTGACCAATCGTGGATGGACTTGGAAGGCAGTCTTGGTATTATGACTATAGCATCTTAGGGCTGACTGGCTGTCCTGGTCACCAAGGACATGTTTTAGCCATCCGAGGGTCCCCTCCACAACCTCCCGAGTCTGCACCTCAGTGACGACAGCTACAAAGGCTCTTCTGTGTCTGCAGACCTGTCCCGGTGAGGACTGGTTCACAGACAATTAAAATGTGTCGGGCACTTAGTTTGCATCAGAATGGACTAGTCCTCAGGGCCTGTTCACCGTTACTTTTTCATGTTTTAAGGGAAAAGAAAAAGATGGCACAAATTCACATCCCATGAGGTCTCATTTTCTTTTTTCTTTTTTTTGAGACAGAGTATTACTTTGTTGTCTTTGGTAGGGTGCTGTGGCATCACAGCTCACAGCAACCTCAAACTCTTAGGCTCAAGTGATTCTCTTGCCTCAGTCTCCTGAGTAGCTGGGACTCCAGGCACCTGCCACAACGCTTGGCTATTTTTAGAGATGGGGGTCTCACTCTGGCTGAGGCTGGAGCTTGAACCCGTGAGCTTAGGCAATCCTTCTACCTCGGCCTCCCAGAGCGCTGGGATTACAGGCGTGAGCCACCGCGCCCAGCCTACAAGTTCTCATTTTCTTAGGAAGGAGCATTTTCTGGCCTTCTCTGCCCTACATCTTGTGACACAGCCACTGCCCTCTGAATAAATGTAGATTGTGCAAATGCCTCAATACACGTATAGGCTGACAAGCGAGATGAGGAGCCTCAGAGGTGGCGGAGAAGCAGGTGAGCAGGTGTCCCTGCCACGTGGTCCACGGAGTTCCCGGAGTTACTGACCACGCGGTTACTCTCACGTACTTTAAGACTCTGCTCTTGCAGGTATTAGGTTTAAACCCCAAGAAAACATGGGGTTTAAAAATGGTTAGCTGATACCATGTATTGGTTCGCCAGGAATTTTATTCTGAAATGTAAGAACTTAGTTGTCTCAATATAGTGGAAAAATTCGGAGCTCACTAACCTTCCCAGTTAAGCAGTGGGGGAATGACTGGGGATAACGCAGTTCAGCGATTTTAACTATTTTTAACTGTTTAAAATAGTTAAATATTTAACTATTTTCTGTTCTGAGAGTGGGTACTGCTCTCCTCAGGGAACGGCTTTATTTTAGCTTTTAAGACCATCTAATCAGCATATAAGCCAGTTAATGGCTGAGTTACTTCTGGAGCCTGTATTAAATTTCTCTAATTGGTTAATTTGTTTTTGAAGCATACATTTTATTAATTTCTTAAAGAAGAGTCTTAAGAATAAAAACGCATTTTAGTGTGGAGGAGCTGGCTCAGAAACAGCAATGTAATTACATCAAAACTTACTGAATATGTGAGAAAAATTTTTAAAAAAGATACAAGTGGGTTTTACAGGAAGAAAACTTTATAGGAACAATTCGTGTAACACTGCAGTCTGAAAGGACACACTATTTAGAGGTAAGTGACACAAGAATGACATTAGTTTACACCTCTGCTGAACCCAGGATTAAAACAGAGAAGCAAAGAATACAAGGTTCTTAAAAGGAAAATGTTTGCATCCAGAATGTTCTAAATGGAAACGTCTAGGGCCTTTCCTATTATTTAAAAAATACTTTTGCCTTCCGGTTTCCTTAGGTGATTACTCACTTTTTAGCTGTTTCAGCATTTCATTCACGTGTAATGAGTTTTGTAGTAAAAAGGAATGAGAGTGTGTTTTAAGTGAATTTCGTGGATGTCAGATGCTCAGGTAGAGAGTACTTTACAAGGAGCTGTACGCTGCCCACCCTTCAAACCTCGCTCTCTGCGCCCCAGGTTCTCGATGGGAAAACGGGGAAATGGTTCTGCTCTTGGGGTCTCAGGGACACCGTGGAGGCCCTGAGAGCGGCCAAGTGCTTTTCAGACAAGTAAGGAGCCCTCTGTGTGTACCTTAATTTGGTTTCCTTTAACTGCTCTTAATGAAAAAATTTGAAAACTGTAATCCAGGCTTCCCTCTCACGGTGGGCAGCCACTCTCGTGCTGTGTCCTCAGCCCCCGCAGAAGCCCACGGGCTCCTTGCTGTGTTTCTACATTCTCCTTTTCTGCCAAGCAAGCCGTCTGCCCTCGTCCTCTCTCTCTGTCTGATTTGCCCCTGCGTATAAGCCATGTGCTGGGAAACTAGACAATCACATTTGACAATAATTTTATATTAAATTAGAGTCCATAAGGCTCTTCCAAATTTGCGGCTCCGGCAGTGGGCCAGTGCCTGCTGTGCAGGGTCTCCGGCTGCTTTTTACTTAATTCCAGGGTTACGGCTCATTTTTAAGGCGGCCAAAGGTCTCTGATCTGTCTCTCCCTATGTGCATGTATGTATGTGTGTCCACATACAAGCCACACGCACACACATGCATTCAGTTGTGCATTACTAGTGCACACATTCAATAAACATCTGTCTTTAAAGAAAGTGAGGCATCTGTACGGCCCAGCGCAGGGAGGTTATTAAAGGTGCAGCTTTCCACAAGCACTCAGTCTTCAGAAAATGTGAGCTGCAAAGAAGCAAGAAAGCCCTTTTCTTTCTCATGTAATTTATACTAAGGCCCATAATCCAGGACTAAATGCATATGTGATATATAACACTGACTTTCTAAAATAAAAAGTCAAATTTGATCAAATGATCAAATTTGCTACATTTGCCAAACAATAATATAAAAACTAAGAATTTAATCTATTTTTCCTACAGAAGACTATTCCTTTAAAACTAGTGTTTGATTTCTGTAGCTTCTTTCTAGGTAAAGCATATTTATAAACCTAATTTCCAACTGCAAACACTTTTCTTTTAAAGACCTTAAAAATCCCACAAAAGGCGAGAGGGGCATGACTGGGAAGGCCATGGCAGTGAGAGGCTGGGCCTCGCGCCCTCGCACTGTACCTGGTGCCTCGCGTGCGAGCTCCTCCGTCCTCGGCTAGAAGCATTATCAGAAGTACAGGGTGGAAAAGAAGACAGAGAGTGAAACAGCAGAGATACAAGGTACAGGCCACAGGGTCTCACAATTTATCCAATATAATGAATTCCTCAAGTCATGGGAAATAGACTCTTGCTGTGCTTCAGAGCTAGCCTAATGCATGGAATTTAAATACATATTTTGTGCTGTCTCATTTGCACAAGTAAGAATAAAACATTGTATCTTTTCCTTTTTGTACAAATGGCTTTAAAAGAAACAAAGGGCTTTCTCTCTTGCCCACATTGTAACACCCATCTTTATTCCCTCTTCTGAAAGCTCAACCCAAATATTCTTTCCACTCTGACTTCAGGAAATATTATATTGATTTTCTGGGAAAGCAAAGAGCCCCAGGACAGACTTGGACATAATGACCCGCCTCCGGTTATGAGAGGCTGAGACCATTATAGTCAGAAGCGTGGGGACCAGCCACCCAGATGGCTGGTGCCAGTACCTTGACGAATGTCTCCAAATCCCCATTAAACAACTTAGCATTATACTGTGAGCGGGGTCTGGACTTCCTGTGTTTCTGGGGCTTAGGGGGAACATTTGGAGGCCTAAGGGAAGGGAATATAATTACTGAGCATGGCAGAAATCAAACAATAAATGAAACACCCACAGGACACATCAGAACACGGGAATCCTGGGCATCCCCGCCCCGCCCATGGGAGGAAGTAGTCCCTCCCCTCCCCATTCATGTACTTACTTGCATGTCTAAAAACATACTGATTATGTACTCACGCGGCTGTTTTCCTGTATATTATAACTGACATTTATTTGCTGCTTTGCTTAAAAATGATAAGCATTACCAAATGGAATTGTGAGCTATTTGGCCAAATGTTACAAAGTAGGGCTCTTGTTTACCAGCCACTTAGTAAAACATCCCTAAGTCATAAAAATGAGGCTCTAACAGGTCCCCAAATGAGAAATTAAATAGAACGTTCACAGTCAGAGCATAATTTCTCAGTGGAAGCAACATTACATCCATTCAATACCCCTCAGGTATTAATGGTATTTTATGCAAAGTAACTATTAATAATGGGTCATAAGTGAAAGTAATGAGTTTGGTTTCAGTGTTGTTTCTGATGGGCAGAATACTGGCTCACATGACTTATTTTTTATTTAGAACAAACTATCTCACCACTCAAATGCTGGTAAGAGCGCGAGGATGCAGCGTGGTGCTGCTCTGGTCTTCCGTCTCCAGCTGCCCGTCTGGTTTGGACACACCCACCTCCCTGACAGGTGCGCACCTGGGCACTGAGTCTGCATTACCAGCCCTGCAGCAGCTTCCACTGAAACTGCAGAGGGGGAACCTATTCTGCTCCCTTTCGTGGAAAGAGGGTCAGGATTACCTGACTTAACCTCCACAACTCTGCTGACTGGGACAGGTGGGAGGAAACCCCAAGACCTCTCTTTGGATGTTCCAATTCTCCTGTGTTCCAAGGTTTATACACATATGAGGACACACACACCACACTTGAAAATTATGTAAAACATTTCATTACTTCATTAAGCTGCAGACTCTCTAAGAAAAATTTAGCTTTCGTCTAGAAAGCCCACTTTAGAACCCAAATCCCAAGAACTTATGTGGAAGTCTGACTAACTTCATCAGACCTTACCACTGCAATCAAGAGAGGCAGGGGAACAGCCCCACAGACACCGCCATCCATAGCTAAATTTTCAGAATCTCCCAGCAGGTGGGCTCCTGTAACTAATGGGTATAGAACAGGCAGCACCTGGGTTTCCACGGTGCTCGAGAGGGGAAAAGGGGCCTTCGCAACCGTCTGCGAGTAAACACGGAAACTTCCACCGGCAGCAAGCATGTCACATCCTGCCACAGCAGACGTTTCCAAAATTTCTTTTATACCCTGAATTCTGGGGAGGAAGGAATCTGCAAGACATAAAAACCCAGGCAATAGGCCGGGCACGGCGGCTCACGCCTTAATCCCAGTACTCTGGAAGGCAGAGGTGGGAGGATCACCTGAGCTCAGGAGTTCAAGACCAGTCTGAGAGAGAGCGAGACCCCGTCTCTAAAGATAGCTGGGCGTTGTGTCAGGTGCCTGTAGTCTCAGCTACTTTGGAGGCTGAGGCAAGAGGATCTCTTGAGCCCACGAGTTTGAGGTTGCTGTGAGCTGTGATGCCATGACACTCTACCCAGGAGGACAGAGTTAGCGTCTATCTCAAAACAAAACAAAACAAAAAAGCAACTAACCAGCAAAGACTTTCACCTAACATGCTGATTTCATCTAGTCTTTTCATTAGTTTGTGTTTTAAAATGTGGATATTATTATTATTATTTTTATTTTGTGGTTTTAGGCCAGGGCTGGGTTTGAACCTGCCACCTCTGGCATATGGGGCCAGCACCCTACTCCTTTGAGCCACAGGCACTGCCCAAAATGTGGATATTATTTTAAACAGGTGAGGCCAACAGGTCAGGGGACAACTGTCATTGAAGAGACAGTTTGTCACTCACAGTTCCCCAGTGGAGTGGTCACTTGCCATTGGGGAGGCCACTGGGTGGGGGAGTCAGGAGATGGAGGGAGCAGGGGGAAACAGGGTAAGGGCCAGGAGAAGCAGGGCAGGGAGGGTTAGAATCGGCTGGTTTGAGTAATTTTGGTGGGCTCTGGGGCATGGGGGTTACCCCTGGGTACTGGGCGTGGGGTGATTAGGGTGTGGGGTGAATAGGAACTGTCAGTGGGCATGACCCTGATGGAGGTGGTGGGGGTGTGGGTGCTGGGTCAGTTGGCACAATTGTAGGCCAGTCCTTGCCATCTCCAGGAAGTGGCTAGTCCCGGAGGATCATCCTGCCATGGTCAGCCTGGCCCCAGGTGTCAAAGCATTAAATACAGACTCTAGAAATGGAGTTATTGCAACAGGACGGATGGTGCTTCCTGGGCAGTGCTACTCGGTGCAGCCGACCACACCAGGGGATCAGCTTTTTGTTTGGTTCTTGATTTATGGAGTAAGCAAATCTTGCAACTGAAGCCAAAGCCTCTGGTGGCATCAAATAATTGTCCCTGAGTGGCTGGGAGATGCAGTGGTGGCCCCTGGCTCGGGCTAATGCTGTGACACCTTTTGAGTTTTCTACCAAAGGCCTGAAAATCTCCTCTCCCAGAAGTTCTAAAGCATGAGTTCATGTGAACAGCCTGAAGCTGAGAGAAGAACTTGGAATTCACATGAACTGCTGAGTGTTCATCAAGGCAGTTTCTGTGGGGTGGGGTTATCAGGCATCAGGTGGACAGAGCCGGGGCCACTGGCAGTCCAGCCACGGGACTCCTCCTGTTCCCTGCCTGCCACGTAACTTCTGGTCACGTGGCTCCCTACACGCAGGCCCACACGAGAGGACGCACTGGGCAGGGTGATGGGAATGTCAGGTCTTTCTGGCCGTTAAGCTCTCCTTGCAAATTCATGTATTTCCTTCTTTATTAAGGAATCTTTTTACATTATAACTTTGAAATGACAGGTAAAATAATTGATAGTGCAAAGAGATACTATATGTGAAAAAAAAAAAAACCTTGGTATTTTTTTCTTTTGTTAAGTTTAGAAAAATCAGTAGCTGGATCTTTCTAGTTGGTTCACCAAGAAGTGAGAGGGGGCTCCCTTAGGAACACCCCGGCCAGCAGTAACATTATCAAACTTTAGACATCAGTTTGCCAGTTATGACAACAGGCACCCCCGCATCTCAACTGCCTCTCATCTCCAGAGAGCTCAGCTTTGAAAGTGCAAAATCTTACTATGTTATTGGAATAATTTTTGGCTATTGCACAAAAGGTAGCAGAAAAATCAAAGTTGCTACAAACTTTCCCCAATCCAGATTAGAGTTTGTTTCCAAGATTCTTCTCTTTCTTAGCAGTAACTTCAAAATCCTTCCATGAATGGAGAAAGTGCAATGTAGGTATAGGTGTTAAAAGTTAAACTTTTAAAGTGACCAGAAAGGGTAAGGTAGAGAGCCCAGACCCTGTGGAGATTCAACCAGGCCCTAAGTTGCATATGACTTAGAGAGAAAGTAGGAGCAGAGAAGAAAGTGATCGTGCTTCCGACTCACTCCTGCAGTCGACAGAGACACTATATTGTTTTTAAATTAAACTAGGAAATCCAAAGTCATGTCAGACTAACTCTAAAACCCTAAGGTGTCCTGGACAAGATGAAACAAGCCTGTCCAACCTAGGTCTCTGCTGTGTCTCTGCTTATTAAAGAGCTTTACAATTCCACTGGGAAACGCTTAGCCAGGCCAGAGCACATCTGGTCTTGCGAGCACCTCCAATGTTTCTGGTTGCTATGCTTCATCAAGCCAAAACTAGCCTCCAAGTTCACTGACACTGTGTTCATTCTTACAGCATTGAAATAGTTGCTTCTTATTAAAGAGCAAAGAAAAGCGGGAGACATGGTAAGTTATGATAAAATAGTCTCCTACCTCGTGGTCATATACTCTGCTCTGTGACCTGCAGGAAAAAAACAAAATGAGAAATTAAGAGGAATCCAGGAGAATGGATTTAGTAATCATTATATATGACTTTACCCTTATTTTAAAGGGAATGCTGAGTTTATAATAACCTGCACATTTTATGGTAGAAAACATGAGGATGACATACGAAGACAGATAAATAATTCAAACTAAATATATCACAAAATCTATACATAAAATTCAGTAAATTCTATAGAGAAACAAGTTGAACTTGGCTGTTTGAGGCCAGATTTGTTTTTTAAACAGATAAGAAATGGCTATTCGATCCTAACTGTAAGTTCAAAGATAAAATGTAAAGAAAGCATATGCAAAATTTGCATTGACATGTTATCCAGCTGTCTTGATTGATACTTGTCGGGAAAAATGGGGGTCTAAACTGGTATTCTTTTCTGTAATAGGAAGTCAGGGCACTGGAGAGAAGTTGCATTCTATAATCTGAAACGACATTTGCAGATATTAAAGTATGATGACATTAAATTATAATACACTCCACCAGCCTGTAAGCTAAAAGTATTTCATAGGGTTCCCCGTCCATGAAGACCCAGGTTGGTTATGATACATTGTGCTTCCTGACTTGTTTTAGGCAGCAGGTCTGAATTTGGGGGACTCCACCCTTGCATCCGTTTCCTGTTTGCCTGTCTCCGTGGCTGCCCTCTGCTCTCCCTGCTGTTCAAGGAGGAGCGGCAGGGAGGGGTGTGGGGGAAGTGAGCCATTCAGCTTGTTTGTTTGCAAAATGATGATCCAGTCCTGAAACACCTTGTAAATATAGCTGGCAGGGAGGGTCAGTTCAGTGCAAACAGACGAGGTCAGCCCATCCTATCAGGCAGTGCCTCAGACAGAGGCAGTGTGACCATGAGGAAGACAGCAGGGGCTGGGAATGGTGGGGCCTTTTACTTCACTATCTGCTCTTGAATAACAAATAACATAAAGGATTTGATTAATATTTATTGATTAAATTGGGGAAAACTGTTACTGTGTTTCCCTGAAAATAAGCCTACCCCCAAAATAAGCCCTAGCAGGATTTCTATGCATTTGTTAAATATAAGCCCTACCCTGATAATAAGACCTAGTGATAGGCGTGGCCATGCATTTTGGCGCGGAGAGGAAGACATCCCCTGAAAATAAGCCCTAGTGTGTCTTCTTGAGAAAAAATAAATATAAGACAGTGTCTTATTTTCGGGGAAACACAGTAATATCAGAGAATACCTTTCTCAAGACAGAGCCAGGCCACCGTGCCTGCTGGCAGAATCAATTCTTGGCCATGACCTGACATGGGGATGGGGAGGGACAGATTCTGTTCCCTTTCTCCCCAGTTCTACCTGTCTTCTAAGTCCCTTCCTTTTGCTGATTTTTTACTATGTTGGGAGAGAAGAAGAAAAGAGAAGGTGCACCTAGAATTCTGGAATAATCGAGAGAAAGTCCACTGGAAAGTGGAGGGCAGACGCTTAAGTGACGTCCTAATAGCAGTGTTCAGCAGGAAGCTGGACAAAGCAGGTAAGGCCCAGAGAGAGCAGGTAAGGCCCAGAGAGGGAGAGAGAGCGGGTAAGGCCCAGAGAGAGAGAGAGAGCGGGTAAGGCCCAGAGAGAGAGAGAGAGCGGGTAAGGCCCAGAGAGAGAGAGAGAGCAGGTAAGGCCCAGAGAGAGAGAGAGAGCGGGTAAGGCCCAGAGAGAGAGAGAGAGCAGGTAAGGCCCAGAGAGAGAGAGAGAGC